CACCTGTAGCCTGTAGAGACATCCACAGCCACAAAGTGTTAAAGTAATATCAAGAGATTTGCAGTTCACCAAGGTTAAAGTCAATAGCCATTTAAGCAGAATCCTATCATTCTAATTTGGGTAGGATTTAAGAATTCAACATTCCCAGTACTTTCCATGTCTCAACTGCTAGTCTGTACCACCTCTATTGGCTGGCTGCAATTCCTTAATTATAACAAGCTTGCCTCCAAGGGGGCGAATGGTGTCTTAAAAATCAGAGCAGAGTACAAAAAGTACATAGTTATTACATCTATTCCTCCACTTTCAAAGGGAAATACTGTATTTTTTACTCCACTACATTTATTTAAAGGACCACTGTGTGCAGATTGCAACCACTTGAATACAGCTCAGCCTTCTAAGCGTGTATTCAGCTATTGTCCTTTTAACAAAGTGATGTAAATCAACAAATTGATGAAAAAGTTTCAATACTTTTAATAAAAGATTTATAAGACATTGTTGGTATCCTACAATCAGCTTTAAAGACAGTGGAGATGTTGCTGAATTTGTTTCGTGAAAACATCTGTATGTCTTTGTGAGAAAGGCACAGCAGTACAGCACAAGACAAGCTGAATGTGATTCCCCTCAGAAACAGCAAGTCATTACAGCAGAGTTGCTGGCTATGCAACCGTGATTGAGAGATAGAGTTTATTTGTTTTGTTTTCATGTGAAATATGTACCAGGATTTATAATGAAAAACTGTCAAATTTGCCTGCAGACTGCACATTTGTTTTCACTAATTGTGTGCAAAAACTATGTGTGTAGCAGCCTAAACAAACAATGAAATTGAATTTGGTTCTTTTCTCTTACAGTGGACGGTTAATAATTATATCTAAAGCTAATGCTACTATAACAATGTTGCTGTCTCACCTCTATGTCTGCAGTGTCTGATGCTGTGGGGAACCTGTCTTGCTTAGGAGTGAGCTGGGATTCAGTTCAGCTGTCTTGGGAACTTCCGGCCAACCCTAATGGGCAGATCCTTTTTTATGAGATTCTGTTGGAGGTAGACTTGCAGTCCTACACACTCCAGGCTTACACATCAGAGTACACAGTGACTGGGCTGTCACCAGACCAGGGATACGCACTCACTGTGGCTGCAGTCAACTCCGCAGGACCAGGAGACAGAGTAAACTGTACTGCTTCCACTCTCTCTGAATCAGGTAGCCAGTCTTATCATAATGGATTGTATTTTAGCTGCTAATATAGAGTAATACAGAATGAATATGTGCTCCTCTTTGTCTCCCTTAACAGTCCCAGCTGCTCCTCACCTCCTCACTATCTCTCAGGTCACACCTAACAATGTGACACTTCAGTGGGCTCCACCGCTCTCCATCCCAGGCCTGCTGAAAGAGTATCACATCATTGCACAGCTGCTTTCAACTGTTTGTCAACCAAACATACTAACTACTCCGCAGCCGGCCCCAGAGGATGAACTGACCTCAGACTGCGTGGACTCTAATGTCACAGTGTCTGTGAATGCCTCGGATGGCACAGAAGAGAACCACAGCGTCACACTCCAATCCCTGGCTAAATACAGATACTACCGCTTCAAAGTGGCTGCTGTGACCAATGCTGGAGTTGGCGAATATACACACTGGAATTATGCACTCACCCTGGCTGGAAGTAAGGAAATCACAGTGATGATATGACCTTTGTGTGTTGCCAGGGGAGCATTGGCAGTTATTCAGTTAGTTAGTCACACTGTATCTGACCTCCCCTGGAGGGGGTAGTAATGTATGCAGAGAAGTCTCTTGTTGTTCAGTATCTGAAAAAAAATGATAAAAAAGGAATAAAGGAACCATATTTTTAAAGTTAGCCACACATGTAATTAAAACCATTTCATTTATGTTAATAGCACATATTAAGCAGTCTGTGTTTATCCCTTCCCTCAGACCCAGATGCTCCTCCCCGTGACTTGAATGTGACCCCAACCTCCAACGGCCTTCGCATCGCATGGGGCGCTCCAGCTGTTCTCTCTGGACCGACTTCGTACCTAGTGCAGGTCATCTCGTTTAGTTTCATTTTTGCAGACACAAACACAGTTAGATGTTCTCAGAAGATCTGGTCAACATGGTGTTAAACATACAGTGTGGTGAAATGCAAACAATATGAAATTACTCCAACTTTACTTATTCACATGTAAGTATTAAATCTTTCCATGAACCCTGTTGTCATACCAGGTGGATGGTCCTGATTTGAACATCTCAACAGTCCGAGCTCCAGGAGAGTTGACGACTGTCGTTGTGACTAACTTGACTGCTTTCACTCGTTACTTTGTGACTATCACTGCCTTCACTGGTCCATTGGAGCGCGCCACCAGCGATGGGAAGGCTATTGGGCCTATTGAATATCAAACACTGGAAGAGGGTATGTTGAAATGTACATATTGGAGCACCTTTGACAGCTGCTGCCGACCTGTAAATATGACCAAATATCTATTATTATCATATATTATTATTGCTACCTTGTCCCCAGAACCCAAAGACCCTCCCAAGAATGTGATTGTATCAATCATCCCAGAGGAAGTGAACCGCGTGAAGGTGACTTTTACCCCTCCAGAGGAGCCCAATGGAAACATAACTGCCTACTTTGTGTACATCTACGTAAAGGATCAGCTTGTCAAGAATGTCAGCCTTAATATCACCCAAAGAGACCAAAACATGATGACTGCTGTCATAGAGGGCTTAAAGGGAGGAAACAGCTACAGTATACAGGTGAAAAACACACTCTTGTTCACACACAGGCATGCACATTCAGACACACATCTGGAGCTGTAACTCCAGAAGGCCCCTGATCAAATGGTCATTTAATCATTAGTTAAAGTATAGTGGCTTTCTTTAACTACTCTCTGTGTTTGCCTCTCTTTCTGCTGTCTTCCTTCCTTTCTTCTATCTGTAGATTTCAGCAAAGAACGGGGCTGGTAGCAGTCCACCCAGCCCACATGTCCAGATAACTACGGGGATCAAAGGTACAAGCCCCTCTTCTTCATGCTCTGCACTGCGCTACAGAGTTTCTCTCTTTCTTGTTGCAGCAGTGCAGTATAGGAGATAGGAGACAGAGTGCCACAGCACTTATGGCTCAGTACAACAGAATGAAGGGCTTCTCTGACACAGCAAATGTAACTCAGTAATATTGTCAGATGTGCATCAGCCTGCTTGTCATGTTATATATATATATAAATGCAACAGAATAAATCTTCACAAATACTGTATTCACACTTCAACCTGTGTGTGTGTGTGTCTGCTTGTGTGTGTGTTTGCTCCTCTGTGCTCACACGTGCGTGTTTCAGCCCCGGCCAAGCCAACCCAAAGACCCCAGGCAGTACTGGGCCATGGAGGGGTTGCCATGGTAACCCACAGGAGTATCACCATCCGCATGCCTGCCTGTTTCTATAGTGACAACAATGGACCAATCACAAAAATTCAGGTCATCGTGGCCGAGTCAGGGGGTATGACTCTTCAAAAACATTGACATCCATCACTTTTCAGTTGAATACACTTGGGTATCAATCTTGTTTGTGCTTTAAGCCTCAAGTAGAATCTCGTTTTACAGTATGTCACTCTGTCCTAAGCTCACAAAAGATAAAATGTAAGCAAAAGCCAAAGGGTTTAACGTCAGCAAAAATTTGACTCTTTCCCTTTCCCTCTCTAATTTTCATCCTGTCACAGTGAAGGACAACCAGAACCTGACCAACTGGAAGAATGCGTTTTTTTATCGCCCTGCCCCTTACCTGACTGACAAGGGGTTCCCCAACCCGCCATGTGACGGGACATCACGCATGGACACACGTGTCAGAGGTGGTCGCAGTGTGTCTGAAGGCGGCCGGCCCCTGGTGAGGCAAAATCACACTACGGCAGGAACGTACGTCATCGGAGAGAACGATGAGTGTATGATGGAGAACAACACTGATAATTTCTGCAATGGACCTCTGAAGCCTAACACAGTCTATGTGTGAGTGCAGCACTCACACAACAACTTTGTATGTACATGTGTTTTATAATAATATAATGCTGACACTGGGCTGTTGTTTACCAGGTTCAAGTTCAGAGCCACTAACATCAATGGCCAATCCACAGACTCTGAGTACTCAGACCATGTCAAAACTGCAGGTATCTATCATCCATGTATTACTCTACATCAAAAAGTGAAAAGAGAACCTATATTGCCTTTGTTGTTGTTACCCAGTCTGTCTCATCTCCCTCCCTCTGTAGTGGACGGGCTGTTGACCAGAGATGAGCAGATCATTCTGGGAGTTCTGCTCTCCTTCTTCTTGTCTGTGTTACTCATCATCATCATCTGTGGCTCAGTCAAGTAAGATGGCAACAGGCATTCATTCATTCAAAAATGCAATGCTGTATAAATATGGCTATTTGCATGATTTCCTTTTTTATTCATTGTAATTCTTTGTTTGATTGACATTTCAGGATCCATCAGCGCAAGAAGGAGGGTGGGACTTATTCACCCAGAGAGGCAGAGATCATAGAGACCAAGTGTAAACTGGATCAGCTGATTGCCGTGGCCGATCTGGAGCTGAAACAAGAAAAACTCAACCGGTTAGTCTGTGTGCTTAGTTTTAATCTAAAAGTGTTGTTTTACCGAGTATAACACACACATTTTTGGCAGCTGAAGCTGAGTGCATACTACATGACTTCGGGCTTCATTTAGCTGCTCCAGACAAGATTTTAAATCTAAGTCAACAAGACAAAAATCTCTTTGCTGCAGCCAACTTGATGCACACTCCTGTCAGCACAAAATCTTCTAGTGTTGGAGAGTTCGTGCAGAAAATAGAAGCAGCAGCACTACGAAACAACACAGCATCACTGTGGCTTTATAGTCTATCTTCAGTTCTCTGCAGAACAGACAAGTCGTTCTGTCTGCATCACTCCAACCATCCTCACATACAAATTCATCATCTAGCTTTTCTGCTTTTCTGTTTTGGCACAGACAAGTGCACAGACAATAAGTACTGCAAGCTGGTGAGAAATTATGTCAAATTCAGTGTTAGTGTATCAAGGTCACTGATGAGGGGAGAAACTACAAGAAAGAAAAGCTTTTGTCTTTTTATTTGTCAGTATAGATAGATGTCAGTATTGGAGTGTATAAAGCTTTCTGAACACTTTCCCTCCCCATCATCTAAGTAATTCCCACATACACAAAATAAAGAATGGAACCAAAAAAGGTGGGGTCCACGTAGGTAAAATATGGCTGCCTTCAAGAGGAACTGAATGAACAGGAACATTAAAAACATAAAACCCACATGAGAGAAAATGAATAAATAAAAGCGCTTCCACTTGGCAGATAACTGTTCTTTATCTCTTATGTGTAAAAGTGATATAACTGCCCTACTTGAGCAAATATTTGCCAGGCTCATTGAACATCCAATATGACATTTCTTCGTAGGTCTGAAAAAGGAGTTCTGAGTTCCTGAGAATAATTTGCTGTCTGCACATTTTCACTTTTATTCACACACTGCTCAGAGCAAAGATTGTTGGTTTTTGACAGTTGCATTTTGTGCTCACCATTAAGCTGCTCCAGCTGTCCTGTACATTCAAATTGATGTCATTAGGACAGTGTGTCTCTTTTCTTTTGTTGTGACCAGAATCTCTTCATGACTCCGACTATGGGCTGATATCTGTATGAACACCACCTTTCTAAGCACAGTTTATGTTGAAATAACACACTTTTCCTTGTTACTTATCACATGAATGGCACCAATAACCTCCCTTGCTCCCTGACACCTGCATTTACTTGCTTTGTTTTTCTCTCAACAAGCACTTTTCTCTCACCAGGTACTCTTCCTTCTTCTTTAGACGGAAAGAGATTTATGTGATTCAGTAAGTTGAGCTTTTGAACTGTGTGTGAGCCACTTCATGTTGTGTGTGCTTTGTTTGCATGATGTACTCTGCTTTGTGTGTGTCATCATCATGTTACCCATTAAGACTCATCAAATCGTCCATCTGTGCTGTTTATTAAAACTTTGGTGGAGGTCGACAGTTGAATGAATCAGTGGCATCAGCATTTTGCCTGCAGCCTTCTCCTCTTCCTCCATCACTGGCAGTGATTGCGTGGCTGGGCTGACACTCCTCTGCTCGAGACCATTTTAATTTGTTTACCCACTCACTATCTCGAAATTGCTTGGAAGGCTTAGCAGTCTTAGAGGGCACAAATGGTAAGCTTTATCGATAGCTAAGGATCTGCATAGTTACAAGTCTTCAGCTATGCAAAGAAAGATCAGCCACAGGGGAAAAACCACAAGCTCTGTTCAAGTTTACTGATGTTCACATATTCCTTTAGAATAAAACATCAAAGTCAAATGTTTGCTTAAACATACAATGCCACATATTCTCTGAAATGAGGAGCAGTTCAGCTATCATGGACAAAAATACCACAGTGTGGGTTGTGATTATTTAGTTAATTTGTTTATTTTGGCTGATTTTTGGTTTCCTGTCTATTTTTGCCCAGGCTGCTCAGCTACAGGAAATCTCTCAAGTAAGTCACCCTGCATAAATAATGTGAATATGCACACAGCAGCTGCAGCATGTTCTGTACCAGTCAGTATTACACGTTGTTACCTAGAATAAACTTACAGAAAGATATCCTATTCTTGTGGAGTATTTGTACATCTCTCTCTGTTTTTCATAGTCAGTGTATTTCTCTCCTTTCCTCTCTGTCAGGCCTGTCAACAAGAAGTCTTTTCTGCAGCACGTAGAGGATCTCTGTGCCAATGACAATGCCAAGTTTCAGGAAGAGTTTGCTGTAAGTGTTTGCCTACAAGCTGAACCTGTGTTTATCAAACTTCTGAGAAAATGTAATAATCTTAATAGAGATGAAATAATAGAAAATCACCTGGAATTGACAAAAAACACAACCAAACTGGAGCAACTGGATGGGAAGAAAGTCAGATACATCACAGAAAACATATGAGTGAAGACAGTGAAGATGCATTGAAAGTGATTAAAAACTAAATCAATGCAAGCTTTATTTTTGTTCCTCTCACAATGCAAGTATACCATCCTATCAAATAAGCACTTGAAGATAAAATCTTACAATTATTACATTATACATATTGCTTTATTTATTCATGACCAATGATATATAGTCATTACAAAACACATGTCAGAAGGTGCTCACTTCTGTCTCTCTACTGCAGCCATATAACACAGATAGGTTACTCTTAACCAACTTAAATGTATCAGTATTTTTATAGTCAAAAGAAATTTGATAAATAGCTTTAATTTTTCAAGTAGTTTGCAAGTAGGAGTAAAATATATATATTTTCTTTACTTATATCTTTCACTCTAAGTCCAAACTTTTACTTTTAGCTGTTTTAAAAATCCTTGACCTTTACACATCTCATCTCTCCAGGAGCTTCCAAAACTGCTGCAGGACCTGGCCACCACAGACGCTGACCTGCCCTGGAACAAATCCAAAAACCGATTCCCCAACATCAAACCTTGTAAGTGGGCAGGCTAAAAAAAATGTTTTTTAATATGTTATGATACTGACAGTATGACAGTATACCAAAATGAACTTCATCTGTCTGCTCTAACATTAATTGCATATGGATTTCACCACCGCTTTCTACATCGCTTCTCTCACTGTTTCTAGACAATAACAACCGAGTAAAATTGCTGTCAGAACCGGGCTCTGCGGGTTCTGACTACATCAATGCCAGCTTTGTCTCAGTGAGTATCAGCTATCAGCTGCTAAAACCCCAGTGGTTCAGATGGATGTGGCTTCCACTTTAGTCATTATGTTATTTGATATAACATAATACATGGTATTTCCTTGTCCTTTTCTGATTTTTTTTTAGGAAAACACTTTACTTATTGCAGAAATAAAATAAAATAAAATAATGTACTTAATTTCCTAACAAGCTAATTTAATTTAATTCAGTAAATAATGTTATTTATAATTTCAGTATGTCTGTATGTTGCAAATGTCAACCTCTCTTTATTTTTCTGTCTCTAGGGCTACCTTTGTCCCAATGAGTTCATAGCCACCCAGGGTCCTCTGCCTGGCACAGTGGCTGATTTTTGGAGGATGATCTGGGAAACAGGAACCCGCACCATCGCCATGCTCACGCAGTGTTACGAGAAGGGCAGAGTGCGTCATGAGAGATTTGCCACTGATAAGAAATAGCATTTACAGGACAGACTGCACTCTGTTTTAGGCTAAATTACAACTCTGTCACCAGGGGGGTTATATCTGATACAAAGATCTGATTTATGTGTTTGTGTGTGTGACATTTCAGATTCGGTGCCACAAGTACTGGCCAGAGGACAATAAGCCCATGTCAGTGTTTAGTGACATTCTCATCTCTAAAGTGTCAGAGGAAGTCCTTCCAGACTGGACTGTCAGAACCCTAAAAGTAGAAAAGGTAACTAAACTAATAACAAGTACAACAACAGGTAACTGAATAAAAAACAAACTGAAAGTACTAGATTTTTTTTACACATTTTGGGAAATTTGCATATACGCTCTCCTATTAAGCGTTACATGAGAAGGGTTCTTTGTGCTAACGGTCTCCTGGCTCCAGTTTCATATTTACAAATATGAGAGCTGGTATTGTGGTTCTTATCTTACTTACCACAGGCATGTTTCCCAAAATTCAACTATTCCTTTAATTGTGTATAGTATAATGTAATTACAATTATAGTTCTAACTATGTTTTTAGTTTTATAATTGTAATGTAAACACTGGAGTTTGCATAATATTGAAGTGAACATTTAACTTCCCGTCCTTTGTCTTGTATAAATTCCTCTGTGCAGCACGGGCACTACATTCTGGTTCGCCACTTCAACTACACATCGTGGCCTGAGCACGGAGTCCCAGAGTCCTGCAGCACTCTCATCAAGTTTGTCAAAGCTGTGCGAGCCCACAGGCACGACAACACAACTATAGTGGTCCACTGCAGGTACTGTGGCACATTAGTGGTAGTTTACTGACTCTGCATGAATTATAGTAAGGGCTTTAAAAAAAAAAAAAAAGACTACTTTATTGTTTTTGGTGATTCATTTTATATTAAGAAATAATTTAATATCCTCTTCTGTTCTGTTTAACCCACAAATGGGTTATTAACATCTAAGTAATTTTAAGTGTAATAGAGCAGCAGATGTTATAATGGTTTGTTGTTCTGTTCCCCAGTGCTGGTGTGGGCAGAACGGGTGTGTTTATTGCTCTCGACCACCTCATTCAGCACGTCAGAGATCACGACTTTGTGGATATTTATGGCCTGGTGGCTGAACTGCGCAGCGAGAGGATGTGTATGGTGCAGAATCTGGTGAGTTCACATCAAATATTTTCTTTTTCCAGTGTTTGAATTTCACAACCAAGAGAGAATAACCAAAGACAAAAACATGATATCACACAGTGTTTTGTCTTAAGTTGTTCCAGTGGCACTGTAGTGTCCTACTTTTTTCTTCATGGCCTGCTGTGATCCCATCCCCATGAGGAAATATTTTGAAAATTCTCGTTTTGACAAAGGGAATGATCTGGCAGTGGATTAAAGACATATGCTGAGAAGGATTCCCCCTCTTAAAAACATCATGAACCTATCCTAAAATTACCAGATTCATTCATTACTAATGGTATGTGTCTGAGTATCTGAAGGAACCCCTCTGCCTACTACCTGTGCGTCTTCTCAGCATTATTGTTTTATTATTTCTAGATGTCCTGTACATTTTCTTGTGTCTACATTTTGGCTCTGAGGTATGAGCCTATGGTGTCTTCATATACAGGAGCCGCTTGCTACCAGTGAGGGCATGATTCTTTGAGACAGCTGTGTTCAGGGTGCCAGACAACTAGTTATTAGCATAGCAGCCCAGTCATATTTTATAACCTCACAAATGTCATTGCTGAGATACCGGAGCACAATGCCTTTGCAGACACCTTTAAATAAGCCCACAATGTAAACCTATTATCTAAAATGCTTATGTGGAAGGGAAAACAAAGGCAGACGTTAAAGTTATTGTAGATGTCCATTAGATCTACTGTACTTTCCTTGTTATCCTCTTATGGTTTTATGATAAACTGACAATGAAAGACAATTATAAGTAGCATTTAATTTATGTTTTTTCTTTCAAAGAACTTTCTTAGATAATTTGATGGAATTGGGGATGTATTAAAACCTGTTTGGTAGCCTGACTATTTCTGTTGCTTGTTGTATCTTTGCATTAAAAAATCCACATCCCCAGGTCACAGAATAAATTGATATGAATTAATCAGAGGTAGCACATACATTTGCTTTAAATACAGCATTAGTAGGTACAAAATGTCAGATGTCACGGCACAGGCAGGACTTGCTACTAGCAGGCGATACATATGATAAAAGCCTTGGTTGCCAGCACAAGTAGGGATGCAGGCCTTAACTAATTTCTGCCGTCGCTCCACTCATTCCCTGCAATGTCAGACACTCGACTGCGTGGGTGAGCCAGCTCAGGTCCTCTTCTCCTCGCTCTGCACTGAGCTCAACATTGGTTACAGTTCGTTTAAGTTAACAAATTTACACAGATAGAAATAAACCAAAATCCTTCAGGGATGAAGGTTATCTTGCATTGTCCATCAAGGTCCAAATGAAAGACTTGTTTTGTGCATTCATCTGAATAATTCCACTCTCAATTGTCTATATCTGTCCACTCAGCCAGAGAAGTACACTAATGAGCATGCTCTATGGGCCAAAACACACAGAGGCCTGAGGAAGTCTGAAATGTATTTGATTTGAATGAATGGTGCACTATCTTGAAACATCGTATCAAGTTCTCTTACTGTAATACAGTACATCCATGGCTGCAGAATTAAGAGACAAAGTCATTTTCAGTATCACTATTTGCCTGGTCAAGGTTTTGAAATGTTACTTCTGCAAGTTGGAAATAAATCAGCAAATCTGATCTGGTTTTCTTAAAGAGAAAAAAAGGCCTTAAATCAAATGACCTAATTCATGTTCTTTTCCACTTTTTTGCAAAGAGAATATTTTTGTTATTATTATATTTTGGACTCAAATGAAGCTTGCCTCAATATTTTAGGACTGAATTCTACACCAAATGAATTAAGATGTGTCAATTTGTATGTCAGGCCCAGTACATCTTCTTGTACCAAAGTACACTGGAACTTCTAAACAACAAAGGCAACAGTCAATCCATCTGGTTTGTCAGTTATTCTGCTCTGGAGAAGATGGACTCCCTGGAGGCGATGGAAGGTAAACAACAACAACATATAAACATACACACAAAGATAAACTACACACTCCCCACAGTACAGTGTTCACTCCATTTGTACTGGTCTTCAGGTGATGTCGAGCTGGAATGGGAAGAGACCACTATGTAAAGACCGACACAGATGGACACCTTGCCCGAACGAGAGTGATGCTGTTACGAGGTCACTGGGATGATAACCCCGGGCTGTAATGCCTCCACCACACGAGAGGGAGGAGGAGAAACATGAGGTGAACAGCACAGTCTGAACTGAATGATCTGTCAGTCAACTAAGACTTTGTTGCTCCACTTCAACCCATTTCTCAGCAAAGTCCTCCCCTTTAATGAACCTCTCGTCCACCATTTTTCAAAGAGAGAGAGAAACAAGAGGGAGACAGGGACAGAGAATTTCTGAAATGACAGGCAGAATAGAGCAAAAACGTTGAGCGCTCTATCACATCTGAAAGCCTACAGGTACTTTGCACAAATTGATTTCACTGTTACGATTGTATTATGTTAATATCATCTATGTTTTTGTAAGATAATTTATTCAGCCAAAGTGGTGTTTTTTTGTTTTTTTTCACTCTCTTTGTAATTCTGCCTTTGTCGAAGTGCATTTATGTTTTGTTTATCCTTTCTCAAGCGTGATTTGCAAAAATAAAAGCTACTTGTATTTTTTCTGGCCTTGACACTTAACACTTAAACACTTGAGAACTGTCTTGTATAAAATGTAGCCGTTTTGACATTGCAATGTGAAATTACAATCTTATTGTTTAGAGGACACACTCACACTCTATGGAAAATTATGTACTCCAAATTATGCATTATGTATAGATACACACGCACACACACAACTTGACATTGTACTTGACAGTACAAGTCAGATTCGATATTGTTTTAGGGCTGACCTCATCCACTAATGAATGAGTTCAGAGCCGGTGTGCTGGGAGGACACCGGTGTAGACTGATTTCCCATAAGCTCCTTCATTCAACCGTCCTCCTTGCACACCTGGTGCAAATTCATTCATTAGAGAGGCCGGCAGTGCTACAGACGCTGTGGAGGCGATACTGACATCAACGCACACGGACAGACAGTCCAAGGCCGAGAGTAAAAACTACTTTATTCTTTCATTCTCTTCAAACAGAAAAAATTAGAAATATTCCATTAGTAAACATGTTGATCTTTAAGAAATCTCCTTTTTAGAAATATTGTGAGGGTGCAAAGATTAATGACAGTGCTCCACAGTGAGGATGCAGATCCGCGCGTCTCCATGACAACCATGGAGAAGATGGGGTGGCTAAGGAGTCGGGCAGAAA